CCAGTCCTCGGACGCGCCGGGAGCCAAGAGCTCCGGTCGGCGCAGGGGCCCCTGGACGCTCCCCTGGAGCCAAGCGGGAGGCGTCCCAGGCCCGCTTCGCAGATGAGAAAGTGAGCTACAGGGAGCGCGGTCTTCCGTGCACGGGCCAGGCCGCCAGCGAGTGTCGGCTTGAGCCACACGGGCTCCTCCGACTCCAAGTACTGTCCCCACGGCAGGAAAGGGGCCCGCGGTGCTCTAGGAGGGAACCCAGATTCGTGGGAGCCAGGTGTCCTGCGCGCCGCCCTCCGAGGGCTGCTTAATTTGTCGAGAAAAGAAAAACGGGGCGCACCTCGGCGCTTACGCGCCTTAGGAGGCCGCCGAGGCATGGAGTCTGAGGCGGCTTCAGGCCTAACTCCCCGCTTCGGGGGACACCGGGGCTCGGGCCCGGGCCCGCCTGGTGAGGCGGAGCGGCACTTCACGGCGAGATTTCCTTTCTTCTCCTAGCGAGGCGGGTGTGACACGCTCAGACCCCAGCCCCAGCCGTGGGAGACAGCCTCTTTGCCCGAGCTGCCGAGGCAGGAGGACCCGCCGGGCCCAGCGCAGAGCCCGTCCGCGGAGCGGTCCCTGGACTGCCCGCCGCTGAGGCCGGAAACCGCGCCGAGCGCTGGGGACTCGGTGTCGAGGGTTCCTGTCTATCGGTGAGACGTCCACCTCTTCCCAGGTCCAACGCCAGGGACCGGGTTCCTGACGACCCTTGGTCTGCCGACACCCCCTCCTAGCGGCTTGCCGCGAGAGCGGCCCGGGGTGTCCCGCCTGGAGGCCGCGGGACCGCGGGTGCGCACATCAGCCGACGTGCGGAGCGCTGCCGAGGACTGGACAGGCTTTCTTACGGGGTCACTTTCTGACTTCAGCATCCCTTGCAGAACTCCCCCGAAGGCTAGACTTGATGCTTGTGCAATTATGTTTTCCTGGAAGGCTAATCTTAACCTATTGCCTAAAAGAAAAGCCAAGGCTGTGGGACTCGGGGAGAAGGGCCACGGCAAAGCACTGGCCACGGCGCGAGGGCATGGCCTCCCTGGGCGTTCTGTAAAGTTTGCTGTTGTTGTGTTGTTTTTAGCAGTCGTAAGGGGGTGGGGGAGGACCGGTATCCTGTCAGCTCAAAATCATGTCCACAAGCTGTGTCTACACGGGCGGTGTGTTAGAGAGGCAAAGTAATCGCTTCTCAAAATTATTTCCACAAGCTGCGTCTACACGGGTGGCGAGTTAGGGAAGCCAAGCAATCGCTTCTATCCCCCACCTGGCCTCCTGTGGGAAACACGGGCTTGCGGAGGTGGGAATTGTCTCAGCCGGCTGTCTACAGGCATCAGACCATTCGGGCGATTTGCTTTGTTTCCACAGACAGGTTAAAAAGGGGTGGGGGGAGAAAGCAAGAGTTGGTTCTGGGTCGGCTGGGCGAGTGTCGATTTCAGCTTAAAGTGAATTGGAAAATTGAGCCTAATTATCCCAGATAATTGCTTCAATTCTCCACTTGACTTTGCTAATGCAGATCCGTCCTGTGTGTTCAAAAAGACACCCCCTCCGTCCCTCACATCCTGTTGTCACCTTTGGAGACGGCTGGTGCAAAACTGCTGCAAAACTGCCATCAGGCTGAAAGGCAACTGCACCCGCGAAGAGACGCCAGAAAGCAAAACCAAAAGACTGAATCAGCACAGCGATGATTTTTGTAGCTTAAAATTAATTTATTTAACAAATATAGCTATAATATAAATGATAATAAAATTTCAAATATACAGTATATTACATAGTACACAGTCCCTTCCGAAGGGAGGCTTTCGAGCCACGCAGACGTACTGTTAAATAGAAAGGTTTTTTACTTATACAATTGTCTTTCTGATACTGGTAAAGAGGGGCCCCTTCAACCTACCTTGGCAACGCGTCTGTGCGTCCCCTGCCCCCCAGAGCCTGCATTTTGCTGTTGAGCTTCTCTTAGGTTTTCCAGTGGAGGGAGCCGGGATCCATCTCCCCCGGCCCGCTCTTCCCGTGTCCGGCCCGGCCCGGGGAACACTAACTTCTCTGCGCTTTTCCTGCTGCTTCAGGACCGGGAGCCTCTAGGCAGGAGACGTGGCCTCGGGTCCTGTCCGGCCGCTAACCTGCCGGCCACTCGGTCCGTCTCTGAGCTCTCTGGCCTCGGCCTCCCCATCCTCACTCAGGGGGTCGCTCTCGACTCTGGAAGAGGGCCCAGGGGCCCCCTCGGGCGCTTTTGGGAAGAAGACCGCACTTCGCAGCCAGCGTGAACTGGGGCGCAACCGGGCCAAACCGGAGCAAGGTGTGGGTCGGAGGGAGGGCGCCGGGCGGGCTGGGGGAGC